GAGCCAGGACTTCATGGTTTTGAAAACTCTTCTTCTCCAGATTCAAAAGATGTAAAATTAAGAAATAGCTCCACAGCCCTGTTAGGAAGATGAGACCAAGAGTGTGACTATAATCTATTGCTACAACCATAGAAAGATGGAAGGATCAAGAATTTTCAGCAAAAAAGGGCCCTTTAAGGAAATAAAGGACAGGCCTCTGATACCTTCTTCTCAGATCTATGGGGCCCCTAGGAGATTGAGGGGCGCCATCCCCCCAACTCCAGATGGAGGGCATGACTGTTCAGTGGTGTGAATTTCCATAAGTAATACAGTTTTTGAGAAAATTGAACTGACAGAAGTGCTGCCAGTTTGGAGTAAGACAGTCCAAAATGAAAACACACCATTGGACTGGATGTTTTAAAACTTACTCAGCGTGGAAGCAAAAGTCCTCAGGACAGAGAACTGCAAGCAATGGACAGTCATCCCTGACTCAAGGAACATCCAATGTCTGCCTGGCTGGGCTTCATCCTTCATTCTCATTTTGAAATAAGAACCCCTGCAACACTCATTCTGTAGCTGCCATAGCACGGCATGTGGTGTTCAGTGAGATTTGCCAAGGAGAAGAGCTGGACCGAGGACCTCCCGCAAGCAGCAGCACGAGGAGCCTCATCCGCAACCAGGCCTCAGTCTCCATCACAACTGCTGCTGTGTTCAGATCTTTGGAGATCTTTTATTTTTTAATTATTTATTTATTTACTTTTTTTTTTTTTTTTGCAGCACTGGAGTTTGAACTCAGGGCCTCACGCTTGCAAGGCAGGCACTCTAACTCCTTGAGCCACTCCACCAGACCCTTTTTCTTGCTGGGTATTTTTAAGATAGGGTCTCATGAACTATTTTCCTGGTCTGACTTCGAACCACTATCCCTCCTGATGCCTGCATCCTGAGTAGTTAGGATCACAGGATTACAGATGTGAGCCACCCCAGCGCAGTGAGACTTTGGAGATCTTGAGGGCAGTTAATGCAGATTGCATGTGGAAGGCAAATGTATTTTAGGGACCAGAGGGTGAAGAGTGGCAGGCAGCTGAATGACTCCCAGTAATCCTTGTTTCTTGGCATAATCCCTGTCCCTTGAGGGTAGGTTGGATCTAGTAACTTTCTTCCAACAAGAATATGGCAGATGAGAGGCATGTAGCTTCCAAGTTATGAAAGACTGACGTCTGTCTTGTTCACACACTCTCTTGGACTCTTCTCAGCTCCCTGGCTCTGATGGAGGCCAGTAGTCATGTTGAGAGCTGTCTTGTGGACTGGCCCACATGGCAAGGAATGGAGGTGGCCTCTGGTCAGCAGCTTATAAGGACCTGGATCCTGACATGAATAGCCTTGGAAAAGGATTCTTCTCTGGTTTGTCTTGATACAGAAGCCTCAGACCACACACTGACTGCAGCCTAGGAGAGACCCACTGAAGCCACACCTGTATTCTTGGCCCTTGGGACCAGGAGATGATAAGGACTGCATTTTGGGGCAACTTGTTATGCAGTAAGAGATGGCTAACACATCTGATGTACCCAGCATCCCCACATCTAGGGCCCACTGAGGCCCCATGAAGTAACTATGAACCTATCCTTTGTTGTGATGGAAAAGCTAAGGGTCAGTAAAGCAGTAAGGGCTGGGGGACAGCTCAGTGGAAGAGTGTGTGTTAGAGGAAAACAAATAGGACTTCACCCAGGTAGCACTAAAACTAAGCTGCACATCTGCAAGTTAGGTGAAGTTCAAGTTAACTCCTATAAGTTTCCCCTCTTGTCCCCAGCCCCACTGATGTGCCCCCCACGTCTCCCTATCTGAGCATCCTGGACTGACTGACAGAGAAGGGTGGCCTTGCTGCTGGTTTCTGACCTGGACAAGAAGATCCAAGAGACGTCAGTCAAGAAGGGAGAGAAGGTGGGTCCGGCTGCAGCCTGGGCACTCAGCACTCACAAGCAATTCTGGAGTTGGGGGAAGGAAAATGAATCCCCAGGTCCTGGTGGAGTCCTGGCCCACCTCACAGATTTCTCTGCCTCACCTCTCCAGGGTCTTTCATACCATCAAAGCAACTAATCCACTCCGGTGTGTCCTGAAACCCAGGGTGCAGACCTGAACTGCACTACTACTGATGACTGATGGGAGTGGGGTTGCTAGGAAGCAGACTTCCCAGCTATTCATTGGAGTTGCCATGGTGATCACTATACACAGGGCTCTGTTACCTCAGACAGCTGATAGGCCACCTTAGGGTTGAGGAGTCAGGAGAGAACTAGCACTGAGGGGACAGGAAGGGTCTTCATGTGTCATTCATTCATCTACTTTGAAATGTCCACTGAGTAGCCACCAAGGGCCAGGTTATGTGCAGGCTCAAGTGCAAAGGAAGTTCTTGGGAAAACAAAGGAATCAGTAGAAGGTAGGACTAAGTCTGTCTAGGGAAAATGAAACAGGGCTCACAGAGGGGCCATTTGAGCTGGCTCTTGAAGGTTGCATAGGAGCCCAACAGTTTAGAAGAGACTAGACTATGAAAAGCAAAATGCGTTTATGAGCATAAATATAGGTCAAAGGAAGGGGGAAGGAAAGGACACTCACTGTCTGAGCTGAATGTCCAGGGATCAGGGAACAGGCAGTAAAATTAAAGCAGGGGCAGTACGGCAAGGGTCTTCTCTCCTCCCTTTGCGCCACAAGTGCTGCAGACAGAGGTTAGCAAAGTGAAATGACTTCCATGGAGTGAACCATCGGTGTGTGCACCAGCTCTGTGTTACTCAGCAGGGGCCAGGCAGGGCTGGGTGTGGGGGGCATGCCCCACACGTCCAGTCTCTCAGGGTCTCTCCAGGAGTCACACAGCATTACACTTGGGGTCCTAGGATCTAGCCTGACACTAGGTGGATGACTTTGGCCAAGCTCTTCAGCTTATCTTTCTTGCTGGTATCCTGGACACCAAGCTTAGTGCCTTTTGATGAGGGCTTCACATGCTACTCACTTCATCAAAGTCATCAAAGAGACTCCTCACAAGATCTTAGCCTGTGTCCCTCGGTTCCACGAGTGGCTGTCACCTTTGCCTCATCCTGAGGAGTAGAAGTCACAAGTCCCCCTTCTAAGGGAGAGGATCAGACAGGAAAGGAAGGTAGACATCACGGGGTCATGCTGACCTTTGTCTACTGCACCCCTTCACAGTCTTTTCTCACTTCAGTAGCCAAGGAATCCTGGTGAAACCTATGTCACATAACGCCACCCCTCTAATCAAAACCTTCCAGTGGCTTCCCAGCTCAACTGGAGTAAAATCTGAAGTCCTGTTTACCTGCAAAGCCCTATCAAGCATTCCCCTCCCCCACTCTAACCCCAGCTCCTCCCACTGTGCTGAGGCACCCATGACCCAGCCCTTCTGGCCTGGAACTCTCAATCCTCCTGTCTCCACCTCCTGAATAGCTGGGATTACAGCTGTGCCCCACCACACCCAGCTTCCATTGTTTCTTGAACGCATCAAGTACAAAGGTATCAGGACCTTGAAATGTCTCTTCCTTCAGCTGCCACTTCCTTCCCCCCAAGTGTCTGCAAGGCCTCCATCTCCTTCGTCCAGGGCCCTGCTCACTTCCCAGACCACCCTCATTAAGAAGTATCCTGGCACTAAGTACCAGTGACTCACACCTGTAATCCTAGCTACCCAGGTGGCAGAGATCAGAAGGATCATGGTTTGAAGCCAGTCTGGGCAAATAGTTCTCAAGACCCTATCACAAAAATACTCAACACAAAAAAAGCAGCTGGTGGAGTGGCTCAAGGGATAGAGTCCCTACCTAGCAAGGATGAGGCCCGGAGTTCCAAGCTCAGTGTCACCAAAAAGAAAGAAAGAAACATCCTGGCTTGCCTGCACTCCTATTCCCTTGCCCAACCTTTCCTTCTGTCCACTGGCTTGCCTCCTGACATATCTGTACTTGTCTTTCTCCCCAGCAGGCTATAAACCCCATGTGACATAGGAGGAGGATTGTTTGGTCTCCAGCCCAGTCTCTGGCACCTGGACCACACCTGACTCATGGCAGGTGCTTCATAAATGTGCTGCCTGGATGACTCTGTGATGGAAGGAGCAAGAGGAGCAGGAGGCAGAGCCATCACTCCCTGCAGCTCTTAGGCCCAGCAGGGCTCCAAGGTTTAGAAAGCTGGTTGAGGATGGCCATTCAGACTGCCCAAGACAAGCTTCTGCAAACCCACAGGTCTTAGCTGCCAGCTGCTGAGCATCAACCCAGTAGTTCCTGAGCACTTTTTGCCTAGTGGTGGCCTCAGGCTGGGGTTCCTCTCAGAGGGACTTGGTTCCTGGCCCTCCAGGATCCTGCCTTAACTTGTGGAGGCTGGATAACAAGGAACCCAGAGCTCCAGTTGACAGGGTCTGGAAGTCATCCTGCAGCCTCAGAGCAGGATTTCAAGATCCTGCTTCTGGAAAACCCAAAATCCAGCCACACTGGCCTGCCTGCCAGGTGACCTCCACCCACTGTGGCTTCTTGATGGCCCACTGCTAGACCTGCAGGCTGCTTCTCCAGCCCCTCCCACCATTGCTCCCCAACAGATCTTATTCTGAGCCAGGAAGGGGGTCCTGTTTGTGAGCGTTACCTCCTGTGGGAGGCCCTAGGGTGGCAGGGTGCCTCTTTGGACACTCTTGGGAAGACCAGCTGCTCTCACCCTCCCCCGCCCCCACCCAGGGACCCAGGGTCTGAGGCTGCAACCGGAGGAACTGGGGCCAGGTTAGCATTGGTTTCACTCTCTCTGGCTTCCTGGTACCCCTTCCTACCTTAGCCTTCCAGGTAGGTCCCAGCATGCTCTGGGGCAGAGTGGACCTGACATGAGACCAACAGTGAATAGTGAAGTGTGTCCTCCATGTGGTCCCCCAGCAGGAGGCTGCTACGGACTTTTCTTTCCCTGCTGGGTCTGAGGAATCTGAAGGAGATGGGAGTGTGGAAGGGGCAAGGATGGAACCCAGGAAGAGGCAGGCAGACACGCAGCTCAGAAAAGGCCTTTTATTCCAGTGTTGTTGGGGAAGGGTGAGCTCTCACGGCAATTTTAAAGATGTGTGGATCTCCTGTGTATAAGAGGCGGAAGGCAGCTGCAGGTGGCACCAGGCTGTCTAAGCTGGCTGCAGTTAGTGCACAGAAAGGCGGAGCTCAGGCCCTCTCGCCCTTCCCCTGGGACACGACGGTCTCAGGGGGTGCCCTGCGGAACCACTCTGACCAGGAGCCATCATACACCGCCACATCAGGCTTGCCACAGAGGTAGGCAGCCAGCGCGATGTGGCAGGCGGTGACACCCTTGCGGCATGTGGCGATGAGCGGCTGAGCGAGGTCCACCTTCTTGGCCTGGAACATGGCGCGGAGCTCCTCGGGACTCTTCTCAAAGCCGTCCTCTGTCAGGAAGTCCATGAAGGGCATGTTGAGTGCACCACGGATGTGGCCAGAATCCAGTCCTGGGCGACGACAGAGGAGATGGGGTAATGAGGAGAGGGGAGGCATGGGGGTGGGGACCAGTGGGGCACAGAGGCCACCACCAGCTGTGACTATAAGGATAGAGAGCTTGGTAAATAAAAAGATGCCTGTGCTCTTTGTGGAGTTTGATTTATTAGCAACCCTACATACAGTCAATGTTCACAACTTAAGCCACCCGTACCCCTCCTCTAAACACTGTCTTGAAGGAGGGATGCCCCAAATCCTACCTGCGTAAGAGTGAGTCTGAGTCTCAGTCCTACCACCTAACCAACCTTCACCTTGGGAAAATCGCTTCACTTCCCTGAACTTCGGTTTTCTCATCTGTAAAATGGGCTCAGCACACACCTGTCTCACAGGGTTGTTGATAAGAGCAAATGCCATGTGCTATGTCAATTCAGGGACACAGTGGTGAGAGACAGCCAGGCCCTCCTGTTGGGGCCATCAAGGAAGACAGGTGTTAGGTAACTGAATAACCCACTAATGAGAATGTATTCTATTCTACAAATGACTTGAGGCTTGGTGACATAAAAAGGGTCTCCTAAGGCTACACAGAGAGGTAAAGGCAGACCCAGGATTACATGGGTCCCTGGTTTTCCTGTTAGGCACACAGATGTGAAAAAAGCATCTGATGCCCCTGGCATCAGACATGAGTTCAAATTCCAGCTCTGCCACTTACCTGCTGGTGATCTAAACGCATGCCAAGGCACCCTCTGAGCCTCAGTTTCCCCTAGGACTACCCCCTAGGTGAGAAGAAATGATGCACTGACAATTGAGGCTGCCCTGCCCCCTGTCCCCTGATGCTGTGGCTCCCCATTGCTTCACCACTCACTGAAATAGGGCTATGTGGTCCCTTCAAGCCTCTCCAAGCACCTTGGGTGGGAGCAGAGTGGGGCCAGGCTGGCCCTGCCTCACACCCAATGAGGCCCTCTGCCAAAACTGGCATTGGAAGGGTCAAAGGCCCCACATGCCCAGGCCACCCTCTCTTCCTCGAGCAGCCAGCACCCTGCAGACTTGGCACTGGGAGTGGGTCTGATCCAGCTCTGCCTCCCATCCCTTTAGCTCCAGTCCCTCCAAAATCCCTACCACCCCATTACATCTGGACCATAGAGCAGGGCAAGGCATGGCCAGGGTAGTGGCAGTAGGAGGGAAAGGCCCTGACCAAGACATTTCCTGGTGCCATGTGTAGCACTGTGCAGCGAAGCAGAACCCCCCCCCAAGCCTCAGTCTCTCCTCCTGCGGAATGGGGTGACACCCATCTCACAGGTGTGTGGGAAAGTTTAGCTACTATAGGTAAAAGTACCTATCAACCCCATGTGCACACTCAAGCCAGCTCTTTGCTGGGTCCTCACCCCAAGATCCAAAGAAAACCCCAAATCATTAGCACAGGAGCTCCTGTGGACACATGTCCCCACTTGTAAATGTAGCCGTTTCTATCTGTTGAGACTTCTTTCTGCCTGATATAGCGATGCACTAACCCTGCTGGCGAGGGAGCTGATCTGCTGGCTTCAAGGATCTCCTCCCCAGGAAAGGCAACTTCAACCGTCAGCCTGCAGGCAGCAGCTGGCTGTAAGTGCATTTAATGAACAAGCAAACAAGCGTTGAGTGCTGTTTGGTGTCTCTCCCCTGATCCCTGACCAACCAGTTTCACTGCTCTCTTCTGATTCTATAAAGGGCGCCTGTCCTAAGGATAAGGCTGGGGGTCGTATAGAGCTGGGCTCAGCCTTGGGAGGTGGGGTCCTCCTGCTCACTTCTGCTAGCTGGAATCGGCCTGCCTGGAGAATTTCAATGTCCCGGACTGGCAGTCCATGGAGGGGAGGGGAGAGGTGCCATGAGCCCATATGGGCGGGGGCCAGAGAACCCTGGAGAACAGCCAATGGGAGGGAGGTCTTGCTGGCCAGAAGCAGAACCTCCTGCTGCTCTCCTTCCACATCCATCTTCAGCTGCAGACTCCTGCCGACCCCTCTCCAGAGTTGGCATATCGCTATTCTCAATACCTCTGACACCAGTGGGTTCTCACAAGAACTGCATCTTCCTCCACCTTCACAAAGCTGAGGAAGATTATCTTCCTGGCTGATGGGGAACCCAAGCTCAGAGAGGGGCAGTAACTTGCCACACACACACAGCAAAGGTAATAAAATCAGCTCAGTCAGACCCCAGACTGGGTTTTTTGACCACTCTGAGTCTCCCTGGGAAAGGAGGCCAAGGCAGTGACAGGATGAGATGACTTTCCACGTTCCTCTGCTGCTCAGAGGTCTAGGAATCTGTGTTGGGTTTGGGAGAAGGTACAGGTAGAGGTGGCAAGCTAACATGCTTAGGTCACAGGTAGGTGTGGGAGTTCAAGGCCAGGAAGGCCTCTTCAGCCCTTTCCAGCTTTCCTCCTAAAGACACTAGGGAATCCAGTCCAGACACCCTGGCCCCGAGCCCCAGGAGGAGGGACCCAGGCAGTGGGGCTTCTTGGTACCATGATGCAACAACAAAGCAACACAGTGCAAGAATGAAGCAACACCCACCTATATTGGCGGCCTTTTCCTGTAGTCCCCATGTCTGTTTATGGTCACCCCCCCCCCCCCGACAGCAGTGCCCTTGGAAAATTGCCTTACATTGATACTTGCTGACCCAGGGTCCAGTCTCAGCCATTCTGCCTTGTTAGTCTCTGGGCCCACCCTGCCTTCCTCCCCTGGCAGAGCCACTGCTGGTTTCAAAAGAGACTATGTATAAAGTGTTCTGCAGATAAAAGTGCTCATTGGGAGTCACCCCTTCCTCCCTCTTCGCCCTCACCATGCCCTCCCAGGGCTGGACATGCCTCCGCCTCTGTTGCTGCTCCCACTGCTCTTACGAGGAAGTGGCCAGGGGGTAGCTCCCTGCCTGGGGTGGGCAACAAGTGCCCATCAAATGTCTAAGGCCTTGCTTCCAGCTCCTCTGGGGTCACTCCCTCTAGAGATGCCTCTGCCCTGCCTTCCATAGTTTCCCTCTGGACTATTGGGGCTGGGGGCATGGCTCAAGTGGTAGAGCATTTGCCTAGCAAGAGTGAGGCCTTGAGTTCAAACCCTAGTACTGCCAAAAAAAAAAGAGTGGACTGCTGAACACATAGGTGTCTCCTTTACCCCACCCCAGGTTGGAGTCCATGACCTCGGCAGCCTTGAGTGACTTTGTATGGGAGACCAGCAAATCCTGTTAGAGGGAGGGAGGTGGCATGTTCTCTGTCTTTCTAGATGGCCCTGGACTTTGCACAGCATCGGGACTGAGCTCAGTCCACAAAGGCTTGGCAGGGCTGGCTTGGAACCAAGGCTCCCTGGTGCACCAATGGAAACTGGAGGAAGTAGGAGTAGGATCATGGGAGGGACTTTAGAATTCAGGGCTCTCAAGTGACATTACCACTATCAGTCTATCTCACCCCTTTGAGCCTCAGTTTCCTCATCTATAAAATGGGAATATGACGGGGCCGGGCATCGCTTATTTCTCAGTAAGTCTCAGTGGGCTGGGAAACAGCTAGGGAACCAGCCCCACTGTTTCTCTCCCACAGGAGCGACTAACAAGAAAAGGCACCTTGAAACATGGCCAGGAAGGGCTGCGAGTGTCCCATGCCATGAGTATCTGGCAGGTGACCAATGAACGTGAATCTTCTTCAGACCTGACAGCAAGCCAGGCGAGGACAGCAGGGGCCTAGAAAAAGTGGAGCTGAGAGGGCAGAGCCTGACAATCTCTGAGTGTGGCCTTGATCTTGGCCTGCCCCTGCCTCCGTGTGCCTCAACCTCCCTTCTTGTGAGGAGGTGACTTGTGACTTTTCAGTGTCCCCAGTTCTAAGACTGCAAAACAGACTTCCCAGCATTCTCTCTCCCCCTTCTCTCCCTCTGAGGCCTGGAAAAGAAGAGACATTTTGCAACAAGTTATGTAAAATGTTGCACAGGAGTTAGATCCCACAGAGCAGAGGCTTTAATTTAGGAAAGGGCTATGCAGACTACCAGTCCTGTGCCCAGGAAAAGCAAAAGCGAGACCTCTGAACTCCTCTCTGGTTAAGGAACTTCTAGAAGCACCTTTTCCTTTCCCGAGGCTACCCTTGCCCCTCAAGCAGTGCAGACTTCTTATGGCCTGTCCTTCTGTACAGAGCCACCTCCTTGAAAATGCCTCGCAGAGGGGACTTCCTCCTAGCCCTGGGAGGTGGGGGTAGGACAGAATGGGTTGCATCCAGGTCTAGAGCACTGATGCAAAACAAAGCAGCATGGGGGTTCAAATCCTGACTCCTCCACTTAACTGAGCAGGTAACAACATCCTGTATCTCATCCTCCATCTAAAAGGGGGGCATTTCACAGTATTGGATGGGATAACGCACTGCCAAGTGTCTAGCGTGAGCTAGCGGCTGCGGCCAGCAACTCTTCAGACAGGCTGCAGCTGCTTAGAAAAGTTATCAACCGCACGGCCTCTTGCAAACAGCGGTCAGGGGCCCGGAAGAGCTGGGGGAAGGGCACTGTTGGTGTCTGTAAGGTCTCTGGGGACTAGAGAGGCTGGGGATGTACTTGGGAAGCTTCTGTACAGCCATGTAAATGTCAGCTCATGGGCATGAAACCCTCTGGTACACTCTAGTGCATGTCGGGGAAGCTGGTACCTGGAAGTGAACATGGCTGGACATGTCACCAGTCACTTCTGCTGATGCTGGGCCACTGGTTAACACATAACTACGGGGACACATACAGAGGTCCTCATGCATCAGAGCTCAAAACACCTTTAAGTTTAGCTACCCCTCCCATTTTACGGATGGAAAGACAGATCCACATGGCAGACCTGAGGGCGAAACCTGAGAGGGTTGCAGTCACCCTTCCTTGCCATCCTTTCGTGGTGCAATTCTCCCCAGGGACCACAGAAACACCTACCTACTGCATCCGGCTCTGGCTCAGTGCCCAGGTATCGACCTTGGGCTCGTGAATCCACCAGCTGGAACCTCTTAGATTCCATGTTCTCCAGCACCTGTTCATAGGTCTTGAGCAGGGAGCGGTTCAGTGTGGCTTTGAAAACTCCCGGCTCGGGTGTGAGGGCTCAGATGTCACTGGGTGGCCCTCCTTCAACCAGTTCCGGAAGCCACCATTCAGCACTGACACCGTGCGGTGACCAAACACTCGGAACATCCACCATACTCGGGGGGCATAGAAGCTGCCCAAGTCATCACCGTCATACACCACCACGTGGGTGTGATTGCTGATGCCCAGGCGGCCCACATAGTCCCCAAAGAAGGCCTCGCTGGGCAGCATCATCTCGTAGGGTGAAGCTGAGTCCCGGCACTCCTCTATATCAAAGAAAGAGGCACCCGGCACATGGCGCTCCTGGTACTCCTGGCGGGCCTGGCGGGTTCCTGGTGAGTACCAGGATGCATCCAGCACCCTCAGGCTGGGCCCCAGCTTGCCAGACCGGATGGACTCCGCCAGCCACTTGGTGGAGACTAGCGCCCGGTACAGCACCTGCTGAACCATGGTGTCAGTTCTGCGTGTCACCTGGTGCGGGCAGGAACCAGGAGAGAGACAGACTTGAGAGGACTGTGTGCAGTGGGCGGGGCCAGGGAGGAGGAGAGTTGGTGCGTGGTTAAAAGCACCCCAGTGGGTCTGGAAGCCAGTGGGTAGGTTTGCAGATTTCCTAAGGGCAGCCTGCTCTGCCCCTCCACCCGACCCTAGCACCTCCCCGCTTCGGTCCCCAGCGCAGAAGGGAGGGAGTGAGGAATGGTTAAGCGAGTTTCTGAACACTCCAGTAGCGGGAGCTGGGGCGAAGGTAGGAGTGGGGGCCACCACGACAGCTACAATATTCGCTTTTAGGATCCTGCCAGAAAGGCGCAGAGACAGCCTGCCCAAGATGAAGGTGATGGACCCTGGGCTCAGAGTCCCCTTTCCTAAGAAGGACAGGGGCTGGGCTCACAGGGAGCAGCTCCGCTAAGGCCCTGCGGCCCTGGCCTGTGCTCTCACCAGCCCTCCAGCTCCCTGTCCTGGCAGTCTGAGCTTGCCCACCTCCAGAATGCCCACATCCGCCCCTGACTTGGTGCCACTGGCAAAGTTGGATCGGGGTTCTCGAGCACCCCGCCCTGTTCTCGCCACCTTGACCCTCCCCTGGGCCGCAGATGGCCGGCTGCACTCACTCGCCCTGGCCGCCTCGCTGGCGCTCGCCCCAGCCCGCTGGAGTAGCTGGCGCGTTTAAACCCCAAGCTCGCAGCTCCCTCGGCGGCCTGAACCATCGTGCGGCCTCCCGAGGGGGGACCCTGGCCGCTCGTCCAGATTCTGCGCCCCACCCTCGGCCGCAGCGCCAGGCTCTGGCCCACCTTCTGCACCCCGCGCCTTCCAGAACCCCCCCCGAAGGCTGGTGGGGGCGCGAAAGGGGCGGGGCGGACAGCGCGGGGCCCGGCGGCGCTTTGCCGGCTTCCCCCCGCGGCCTGGCCAGTGGAAAGCGCGGACAGCGGTTGTTCCCAGTGGCCGGGGCTGTGGGCTGTGCCCGTGTCTCCTCCCTTTGGCCGGCTGCAGGTTGGTGGTGGAAGGAGGGGACCTCTGCGGGCGCGGGGAGGGGTGCCATGGCGGAGCCTGGGAGCCAGGAGCCGGGGTAACTGCTGCCTACTGGGTCGCCCTGGCCTTTCTGTGTGTGGGGGGGGTACTCTTTGTGGTGCCAGCGCGGGACCCCGCCCGAGTGGAGGAGGGGGCGCCGTCTAGGAGATGAGGGCATTTTAGGGCTCCTCTAAATTCTCCTTGAGGAACACTTGCGGTGGCCACTAGGTTCTTAGGATCGCCTGCAGATTGGGTTAGGATGAGTGTCTGGTGGAGGAGGTGGCCTTGCAGAGAGACCAGGGTGAGGAGGCCCACTGAACCAGAGGCCTGGAGGAGGAGAAACTGGCAGAGAACTTACTGGCAGAGAGAGTGAAATGAAAGTAGCTGTCAGGCCTGCATGATGTGCCCTTGATGAGTATCCTGTGTGTTACTTTGTTTGGTAGCAACCCTGCCGGCTAGGCCAGGAACTTCCCTAAGCACAGGAGACAGACGCAGAGTCAGTGACCAGGACACAGATGGAGTTGAGGTGGAGATGGACCTAAGGTGTGAAGCCGGGAGTGGGGCTCATCCCTGAAGCCTCCTGGTTTGTTTTTGTTGTCTTTGGTTTTAATTTAACTTATTTAATTGTAAGTCTATAAGTTAACTTGTAACAATGGCTGTTTAAAAAACAGTTGGCAAAATTTCTGTAGCTAACACTGACTTGCAAATTAGCTATAGCTATTATACTCAACCTGGACACCCCCTTTTTTTTTTTAAATTTGTCATGGAATACTTGCCACAGCATGTTGCAAAAAATTCAGACATAGATAAACATCACTCCCCAGTGATCCTCTTGAGTTTTGAGTGCCACAGTGGGACAGAGAGGTGCCAGGAGAGCCCAAGCCCACGTAGATGGGGCTTAGGCTTGCACTGGCCCTGAGAGCAGCCTGGGGCTGTCCTCTGGGTCCTGAGATCCTTCACTCCCAGAGAACTCCCCTTCAGTAATCCTGGTCACCATGCACATAGGGACCAGGTCTCTTTTCCTGGTTTCTGCCCATTGGGGACACCTGCAGCCTGCTCTCTTAGTCCCTCCTCTATGGCAGGATCTTTTGTGCAAAGAGCCACTCAGGCAGGGAAGCCTCCGAAGTGTAGGCAGTGTAACCTCTGAAGTCCTACCCCCTGACAGTCTAAGATTCTAGATTTACTGCTGTAGATTTAAGGGCCTGAGAGTAATGGGAGATTCACTCAAGTACTGGGCTGTCATTGAACTACCCTTAATGATTATGCAAGCCATTCATATCTAGTGCATTATGGTGGCCCTTCTATCAGAGATGGAAGTTGGCATCCTCGTTAAAAGAAAGAAGTGGCCTTGGGACCTGAACATACCCACCACCACACAAGCAGTGAAGTGGAATTTGTGCCTAATTTTGGGGAGCAAACCAGAGTTCTTTCTACTCTAAATGGATGGGGGTGGGGATAACAGGGAAAAAGGATCCCCAAGAATGACAGGGGATATACAGGAGCTGCTGTGGTTCACAGGTGGGTTGTTGAAGATGTCTCAGCTTCCCCCAGCATTATCTAGCTGTGATGTAGTGATGTCATCACGGCTACTGGGACTGCCCTTAGCCAATGTCCCTGGCAGCCTCCTTATCCCTAAAGTCAAGCTGGAGTTCCTGGGCCCCTGAAATGATCAAATTAGTTTGGATTTCTGCCTCCTCCGGAAAGCCTTCCCAGCCTGTCCTTCCCACTCCATGCTGAGGTAGAGTCCCCTCTGCTCACAATGAACTCCAGACTCCTCAATTGTACTGGTGACTGAGCAGGCCTGGAACTTGGCGAGGTCAAGAGTTCCTCAGTGTCCAGCACCAGCCTGACCAAGAGAAGCTGGCTTTGGGCACTTCTGTGAGCCTCTATCCTCCTGTATGCTCAGCAGGGAGTGAGGAGCCTCACCAACCCTCTCAAGGCCTGGCAGGGGAGGCTCCTGGTGACCAGAGTCCAGGCTTGGGTTCGCCACCAGTAGTGTGTGCATTCCTGGACTCTGATCTGTGGACCCACCTCCTCCACTGTCCACTAACACAATGCACCCTGCTGACATCTTCTCTGTCCTGCAGGCCTGTCTGCCCAGTGTTACTGAGACCATGGCTGCTCCACAGCTCTTCCGGGCACTTGTGTCCTCGCAGTGGGTGGCAGAGGCCTTGGGGGCCCCACGCACTGGGCAGGCCCTGCAGCTCCTCGACGCCTCCTGGTACCTGCCCAAGACGGGTCGCGACCCACGCCGCGAATTCGAGGAGCAACACATCCCAGGCTCAGCTTTCTTTGACATCGATCAGTGCAGCGACCGCACGTCGCCCTACGATCACATGCTGCCTGACGCTGAGCAGTTTGCAGAGTACGCGGGTCAGCTGGGCGTGGGCGAGGCCACGCACGTCGTGATCTACGATGGCAGTGACCAGGGCCTCTACTCGGCACCACGGCTCTGGTGGATGTTCCGTGCCTTCGGCCACCGTACAGTGTCCCTACTCAATGGAGGCCTCCGCCACTGGCTGAGCCAGGGCCTCCCGCTCAGCTCCGGCAAAAGCTACCCGACGCCTGCCACATTCCGCGCACGTCTAGACCCCACCTTCGTCACCACGTTCCAGGAAATGAAGGAGAACCTGGAGTCCCGGCGCTTCCAGGTGGTAGACGCCCGCCCCGCTGGTCGGTTCCGCGGCATTGAGCCTGAGCCCCGAGAAGGTAACAGGCTGGGAAAAGGGACGGAGGGGTAGGCAGGGGCACGAGGCTTTGCCTTGGCCTTCAAAGCACATTGCCTGGGGTCAGGGAAGGTTTAGTCCGCCAGGGGCCTCACTGTCTAAGCCTCGCTCACTCTATTGGTGGAACAGGACAAAAGCTGCCGCATCTGCTCCCCAGCGTCGGACAGTAGCTGCCCAATCACGTTGGGAACCCAAGGTGGCATGAATGATCGTGAGAATCCAAATGGCTCTCACCCCACTATCATACTGCATGGGGTCACTGCAGAGTAGTGGGAAGCAGCCCTCAATTTGGAAAAAAACCCCAAGGGGTGATTGTTGATGAGGTCTGACCTGTATCCCTGGGGTGAGGGAGCAAAAGAAGCCTCTAGCTGATGAAGTACCTCAGAGGGCCAGACTTGGGGGGATGGATGGGCTTCCAAACAGGGTGGGTGCTGTCCTCAATGAGGCCAGAGCCATGGGCCTAGGGGCTGGTTTCACTAGACAAGAGGCCTGTGGGAAAGCCCTGTATAACGTGAGAGGGGTCCACACAATGACCGTGTTAGTGTGGGCCTTTCAACAATCCTGGGGATAGGTATCGCTGGCCCTCCATATCTGAAATTTGACCAATCTCAGATCAAAAATATTTTAGCGGTGCTATGTGCAGACTTTTGTCTTTGTCATTAGTCCCTAAATGATATGGCATAACAACTATTTATTTAGCATTTACATTGTGTGAGGTTTAAAAGTAATCTAAGATTTGTGTAAGTTACATTTTATTTAAGAGACTTGAGTGTCTGGGATATTGGGGGTGCTCTTGTCAGTTGTCTACAGATACAGAGAAATGACTGTACTGTCACTACACAGAGGAGGAAAAGCATCTTAGAATGACTGCCTTGTCCAAGGTCTCAGAAAGCAGCTCAGCAAGAGCCTCCACACCTAACTGTAGCAATTAACCATAATCCTTTTCCTTTGGTAACACTGGTGTTTGAACTCAGGACCTCATGCCCACCATTCCTTTGGAGGCTGCAAGAACTGGCCAAGCCCCTGCACGCACTCCCCGCATGGCTGTCCCCACACTCCCACCTGGGGACTGGATCTTCCGCTCCATGCTTGGGCTCCCAGTGCAGCCTGAACACTAGCCCAGCTCCTGGCACCAAGAGATGTTTGGTGAATGGCAGAAAGCTCCTGCCAGGTAGAATCCTGCAGAGCAATAGTGATGTGTCTCCAAGCCTTGGAGATGGTTGGTATAGCCAACCATTTTGGAAACCACATTAGGTGGCTGTTTCATGTGCACCAGCCTAGTATGAGTGCCACCTTGATTCTGTTGCTTCCCTACTCAGCCCCAAGAGGTAGAACAACATAGTACTGCCACTTCCAGACCTGAGTTCAGAGCTGTGCCTCAGTCACACTGGCTGCGTCTCTCGAACCACAGCTCCTGCATGTGTGCAGTGGGAACAGGAATAGGGAGCACAAAGGATGGGGTGGGGGTCAAACAGAGCAAGGGTGTAAATCACTCAGCTCTGTGCTTGCACCCAGAGATGAGCTGTACGAAAGAAATGGGAAGCACCAGGCATGGTAGGTCATGCCTATAATCCCAGCTACGCAGGAGACAGAGGTAAGAGGATGGCTCATGGTCGGAGGCAGGCCTAGGAAACAAGTGAGAGACTATCTGAAAAATAAACTAAAGCAACAAGGTGTGGCTCAAGTGGCAGAGTACTTGCCTAGCCTAGCAAGCATGAGACTCTGAGTTTAAAAAAAAACTATCACCAAAAAAGATAAATAATTTTTAAAAAACAGAGATGAGAAGTAATCAGTGGTGCTCTGAGGATGGCTCTTTTCAAGAGTGTGTAATATGCCCTTCAGCCCACTTGCCAGCTGTGAACGGGAGTGAATGGTGCACACAATACAGCTCCTTTGTGAGATGAGCCAAGCTGAAGGGGTAAAAGCATGGCAGCTCACAGGAATGCCCACTCCACAGCCCAGGCCCGGCCAAGTGCACGTGCATTTGTCACCTCAGTCCAGCAGGGAGAGGGGTGTGCTTTGCTGGGTGAGGTTCAAGGTGTGGGGAAGCCCTGGCTCTTCTGGCCCTGGGCTGTGCTCTGCGTGGTGTCTCCTACTGGGCTCAGTTTCTGAATCTGTTCAGTGGGGATGCACGGCCCACTTCAGCCTCCCTGCAGCTCGGGAATGCTGTCTCCGTGCTGCCCTCTGAGGACAGAGATTGACAAGGGCCAGCAGCTCCCGAAAAGGGTGTCACTTCACTGTGCAGAGAAACTGAGGCAGAAGCTGCCCTAGAGCCATGTCCTAGAGTCCAAATGACTCAGTTTTGAGTACTTGGCTGTGAGGCTTTATTTTGTTGCAGGTCCTAAATGGGACTTTTAGTCACACCTACCTGATGGTGGGGAGGCAAACACACAATGTGTGGTAAGAGCCCCGTGGTTGTGGCCCTGAGTGAGGAGTGCCACCCTCCTCACAGTTCTCTGGCCTTGCCCGGGGCCTCTGCTTCTTGCTACAGCAAAGCCATCTTTTAAGAATGAGGTCTGGTTTGCCCTGCATTCCAGGCCCACTGAGGCATCCCTCCCCTCCACCTTCCCACTCTCTGGGCTGTGGGCATGATGCCCTTTCTAGGATCCACGGCCCCTTGGGCTCCCTCTGCCTGGGATGCTCTCTGCTCCAAGGCACAGACCTCTTTACCTGGCTGAATCCCACCAGCCTCCGTCCCATCCTCTAGGCACTGTGGCCGGTGGGGCCACAGCAAGTCTCTCAGATGACCTGTGCTGAAATCCTGGGCTAGCTTGTCTCTGGGCCTCATCTCTTCATTAGTACAACGAGGGGTAATTATTTCTTTTCCATAGAGTTTTGGGAAGGGTGAAAGGAGAAAATGCCATCAAAGCACAACAGTGGCCGGCACAGAGGAAGCATTTGGCATTGTCAGTCTTATTATTGTTATTAATTAATTTATTTATTTATGGTAGTACTGGGGATTGAACTCTGGGCCTCATGCTTGCTAGGCAGGTGCTCTACCACTTGAGCCACTCCACCAGCCCTTATTACTGCTATTTTTATGCTAAAGGCCACCCTCGGGTCTTTTCCTAGCATCTACCACACTGACTTTATCTGGTTATTGCCTGTCTGCCCTGCCAGATGGGATTCCTTGCTTGTAAGTGCTGCAAGTCCTAGCAGACTGGAGGTTGCACTCTGTTCAGCTGCCCCCAGGATGCACAGTCAGGAAACCTGGGGCCCACTGAGGCTCTGATGAGTCTGACTCTTAGGTTCAAACTCCAGCTAGTACTTTGCTGATACATTGCTAGCCTTGATCTCCTGATCCTCCGGCCTCAGCCTCCCGAGTGCTGGATGACAGGGATGACTGCCACACCCAGGCCTTAGAAGGTTCACTCAGCATCGCCATCTCTAAAGTGGAACTGCCTCTCACTCTGCCTGAGACTGGCGGTTGGGAGGATTCGATGGCATGATGCAGACAGGCTTAGTCCTATTCACATTGCCCCGTTTGTCCCTCCCTCCCGCTCTCCCGCCGCAGGCATCGAACCTGGCCATATCCCACACAGCACGAACATCCCCTTCACGGAGTTCCTGACCGAGGAGGGCCTGGAGAAAAACCCTGAGGAGATCCGCCACCTGTTCAAGGACAAGAAGGTGGACCTGACCCAGCCCCTGGTGGCCACGTGTGGCTCCGGCGTCACAGCCTGCCACGTGGTGCTGGGGGCCTACCTCTGCGGCAAGACCAACGTGCCGGTCTACGATGGTTCCTGGATGGAGTGGCACACGCGTGCCCCGCCAGAGCACATCATCTCCGAGGGCTGGGGGAAGACCCACTGAGGCCGGCAGGACACAGGTCAGCTTCGGCAATGCCTAACCAGCAGGACCATCCTGGTCCTTCTATGTCTGCTTTGCCAAAGAAAGTGTCTCCCATCCAACTCAGGAACTGGCAGAGTGGCTCAAATGGTAAAGCGCCTGCCTAGCAAGTGTGAGGCCCTGAGTTCAAACCCCTGTACTGCCAAAAAAATAAAAAAGATCATCCAATTCAAGCAGCATTTGGGTGACATCCCAGCAACCTTGGCTGGTGATTTCCCAGTGCAAGCAGGAGAGAAGGTGGCACCGGCAAGGAGGCCAGAATGAGGGGGGCTGCTTGTGTGGTGCTATGCTGGGGCCCCCTCCCTTCTGTTTTACTGCCAAGGAAATAAAAGAGCCAAGCGCAAACTCTTTGTAGCTGTGGTGCTGTCTCAGTTTCCATAAGGAGCCAGGGTTCTTGTGTGCCCAGTGAAGGTATTTTGGGAACCTCAGGGTCTTGGGAACCCTATTGCTGCCTTCTGATAGGGCCTCGGAGCTCCCTCTCCATCTTGTGATCAGAGTGCCCCCTAGCAAACAGTTTTCTACCCCCTAATCCTGGGCATCTCCCTCTGGCTTCTGGGCTATTTGAAGGTGATTTTTGCTGTGACTTGTCTGGAGTCCCACCCACAATCCCTCCATGAAGGCGCACAGCACATCTCATTTCAAGAGGGAGATAGGTCCAACACTGAGCAGGTGGCTGACTGGCCCAGCCAGGATGTTCTGGGAAGGGGGCTGAGGTTAGCTGGCTTGGAGGGGAATCTCTGGACTCCCAGGATGGGTGGAACTGGGCCTTTAAGCCTTACTGCTCCAGGGAACTGTGTTGCCCCACTGCCCCCAGGCTAGGGGCTCCCTGCTCTGCCCTCCACATTGCTTCTCTGTACAGAGGTGGACAAAGTGTCTGAGAAGTGCCTCCTGTCAGAACCTGGGTCATCTCTCCCCATCTTTTGAGTCCCCACATGTTATCTTGGTGGCAAAAGCACTGACATGCCAGTTGTTACTAGGGAAAACCTTAGAAGTGACCTTGTCTGTGTCCTCTGGAAACCAAACCAGAGAAAGGCAGTGACCTACCGAGGTGTGTTGACACTAGGGCAGGCCCAGGTCCAGTTTCCAGACTGAATTCACTCTTCCTGTCCCCTTTAACCCATTCCACTCCCCCAGCACCTTTCCTCTGATGCTGATTCAGTCCACAGGACAGAGGGGAGCCACAGCACAGGATCTGGGTTTCACCAGCAAGAGCTCTGAAGGAAGCCCCAGCCTGTTGGAGCCTCAGTCTCCTTGTCTAGGAAATGGGGATCAGGTCTACTTTAGGAGAATGGAGTCACACGAGAACCCAGCCCAGAGCCACGGCTGGACTATTTTTCCTCCGGGGCTTCTCAGCCTCGCACACTGACACTGGGCTGCGTAACTGTGTGTCCACTGGCCGGTGCATCGCAGGACGCTTAGTGGTGTTTCTGGCCTCTGCCCACCAGATGCCAGCAGCACTACTCAATTAAAACTCCAGAAAATGTCTCCAGACATGCCAAAGGTCCCCCAGGGGCAAAAATCACCCCAGTTGAGACCTGTGGTCAAGGGCCACAGCAGTCAGGAGCAGCACAGGCAGGGAACCCCAACACAGAGGGGTCCCAAGTCCCATCTCGAACTCCTCCCTCCCCAGAGGCCAGAGTTAGCAGTTTAGAAACCCCCTCCTCTGTGCTGGTCTCAAACAAGCCTTGCTTTCTCTCCCCAGCAGACACATTTGTAAATACAGGTGAGGTCCCATCTGCCCCCCATTCCGCTCCACACAGGACTGCCTGAGCGCCTCTGGGCTTCGGTTTCTTCATTTTTCAAAAGGGCACCGTATACCTTCCTTGAGGAATATGAGGGTTAAGTAGATAACCCAGAGGACCTGGGCCTGGCGCTAGACACAGGAAACCCTTCTCTTTAAAGGGTTTTTGCTAAGTCAGCATGTGAAGTGCCCCCTGTGCTTCTGACATTGAGGGGCAGGAGCAATGACTGTGAGTCCTGTTCCTGCCCCCACAATGCTTCCAAAGTAAGAGAAGAAGCTATGAAGCCAGCACTTCCTATCCTATTTCAGAAAGAAATTATCTAATTTACAACAGACTAATCTTACAAGAGAAAGTGAGCTCAGAGAGGTTGAGTAATCTTTGTAAAGACACACAGCTGGTTTGAAAGAAGTCTAACAGAATAGAATTCTTAGAGTGAAAGCCTCCAATTGGATCTCACCTGAGGTGGTTTTCCAGATTTGGGGGTCAAGGGGAGAACAGGACTGTATGTGACAAGCCCATGGAAAATGGCCAAGTGTCTCCCCAGTTCCACAGGAAAGCCTTGAGCAATGGGATTTAAGCAAGGGCTTTGGTTTGGCTCCTCTCCCCCATCCCAGTCCAACCTCTAGCAAGGAAGTCAAGGTTAATCCAAGTGGGGCCTCATCCCTCCTAGAAGGTCCCCTACAGGTCTGGACAAGTTCAGGGGAGACTAGGACTCAGGGAGACATTTCCAGCAATGACTCAGGGCCTCCCCTGAGCTCTGTGCCCACTCCTGCAAGTCTGAACTCCCAGAATAATTAACTGTGCTCCACAAGGCCCCAGCACCACCCCCACCATGTGTCCAGGGAGGCACTTACAACACTAGGCAATGGGGATGATGAAAGTTTTGTCCATTTGGCAAATATTTGCTGAGCTGGGCACCCCCTGCACTGGGGACAGTGGGAAGTGCATTTCCCATCGTTGTTTCTCCCCTGGATGGCTGCCTGAGAGGTCATGGTCCAAAGCCCCCATCCATGTAGCAGGTGGGATAATGGACTGGGCGGTGGTTTGGTCCTCGTGCTCTGGAATCGGCTTTGTCTGTACCAGGCTGGGGAAGGTCTGCCTTCCTGCCAGGGCCCCAGCCTCTCATCTGAGAATTGGGAGCAAACTCAGTCCTGCCAAGTTCAGGGTGGGTGCCATGTCAGATAAGGTGACACTTAAGGTGAAGTGGGGCATCACTCCTCCTTGAAGTCCTCAGCTTTATCATCTGAATGAGTCATTAGGGAAGACACCATTTTCAAGTTCAGTGAAAGTTTTATCGTTTGAATACCAGAGTTTTAGGCAACATGTATTAACTGGCTTCATGGGTTGTTATTTTTTTTTTTTTTTGGTTTGGTTTGGTTTGATTTTGTATTACCAGGGTTTGAACTCAGGGCCTTGCACTTACTAAGCAGGTGCTCTAAACTCTTGAGCCACATCTCCAGCACAAATCACCAAATGTTAAACGTTACCCTAGTAATGTCCCTAAACCAAATGGCGCAATCGGTAGGACTTTTCAGTTCTCAGTCCTCAGTGCCCTGAGCCATCCTTCCTGTTTGTGGTCTGCTGTCTGGTGTCCCCTCACCCCGCCCATCTGCCTGCTTCCAGTGGGTCCACGTTCTCTGGGTCTTGCCAACCAGGCAAATGGCTTAAACCACTGTGTCGAGCCAGTGACTCAAACCTGGGCCTTCAACCACTCTCTCATGAACTTAGAGTCCCATGTCCACTGCCTGCTGGGCCCCTAATCCTGCTCGTCCCTCCGCCTATCATCTCTGTCTCAGTGGCAGGCCACCACTGACAGATCACCTGTACCAGAACTAGCAGCGACTTTTCTGAGGCATCCCACCAACAGGAGGCCAGTAGGTTCCCATCCCTTTTCCTACCACTGGGGTGCAGGTCCCCACTCTCCCCACACCCCAGGCACATGCAGACAAGGCCTGCCTTGCTGGTTAAGTCAAGAGCACATCCTTGGGGACCCCCCCTCCTCTGGGCACAGAGGAAGAAGACAGTTCTGAAAGACAGCGTTGCCTAGTGGACGGGCAGACACACAGACTCTGGGGACATGCGTGAAGAACATCTGAGAGACGGGACTGCACAAAAGAGAGGGTGCAAAGGCTGCTTCTGGGTGTGAGAGACACCTCAGCACAGGCAATGGTCCCTTGTATGATTCCCAGGGACTGAGCCTACCCTACCACTCCAGGTAGAGACATGGCAGCCTCAGAGCAGGTGTGGGTGTGGGCAGGTGCCTCGATTTCTGGGTCTGTGCAGCAGGGGTACGCTACACAAATGAGGGGTGCCTCATCCAGGTGATGCCCCTTCCCAGCCCCTGACCCTGCCTGGCCTCCTGGGGACCCCCAGGGGCTCCTTGCCACCCCTGCAGATCATCCAGGGTGGCTGGGAATGAAGGCCACTGGGGAGACTGTCAGCTCTGACTCAGGTTCCCACATCTGTCACCTTGCCTCCCCTGGCTGGGCTGTGGGCCCTTGAGGGGAAATACCCCTCACACACACTTCTCTTCCTGACACCAGCACAGGGAGTGACTGTTTGACACATAGGTAAGCACTGTCAACACTGCGAGAACTTAGTGATCCCTCCCATCTTTTGAGCACTTTCTCTGGACCACGAAGGTGCTCTGTATCCATTCACTCTGAATGCAAGTGAGAAACAAGGGTATTGCTCCCTCTGACAGGGTTTAGATAAGTCCAGTGACTCACCCAGGGTCATGGGGGACATTCCTACTAGGACTAGACAAAATGACATAAAGGCTTTTGTCCCCTACTGGACAGAATTGGGGAGGGGCTTGTAGAAGAGGGAGCAGGGCTTCTCTCTGGATGGGGGAGGGCACACATGCACACACATGCACTCACACACCTTTGGTCACACAGGAAATAAGGTGACAAGGGTTCATTCACTTGCCTGGCAAGGTGTGCACCCTGATTCATCTCCAGGACACCATGTAAAAATACTCTCTCTTTTTAAAATGCAGTAGCACTCACCAAAGAACAGTATAAGGAAAGAGGCAATCACCACATGCCAGGCACAAAACTGCCCAGTATTGGTGGGGAGGGGGGCCTGGGAGTTCTTGGGTGAACCAGGTACCACAGAGGCTTCATGGGGGTTAATGAGCCCAGAAGGCAGACTGGTGTTCTCTCTTCCAGCCTTCCTCCCCTGCCGATTTCCGCTCCTGCCTTTTGCATTCTTTCCCCATTTCTGAACCAAGAAAGACCTGGAAAACAGCTATGAGCCCATCAAGAAAGCATGTGAGCAGAGTCACCCAGGCAAGGGCCACCAAACTCCCGTGAGGCAGTGGTGGGGCCCCTAGGCGGAGCCTCGCTCAAGGGCGGGGACGTTTTCCATGCTGCCTGGTCTGCCCGATTAACTTTAAGAGAAAGGAAACAGGAAGGCATAAAGATAGTGAGGCAGGCTCAAGTTAAGGAAAGTTTGGGGCTCACAGAAAATGTATGACTTAATATCGATTTTCACATTGACCACCCATGTGCCTCCCCTCTCATTGATTATTGGGTGGGAATCTCCTGGTTCTTCCCTTCCCATAGGTTATTGTAGGTTTTAAAAGCAAGAGAAGAGAAGCACGCTCTCTGCATCCAGATTCCTCCTGGGCCCACCATGCCCCCTGTGTTAATCCCCATCTCTAACTTTTAATAAACTCCATTTACACCACGTGTCCTGCTATGGATTCTTCCCCACAGGACACAAAGAATTTGGAAGACTTCTGATCAGAGACTGAACCATGGCCGTTAACATGTGGCAAGCTGTCCAGAAGACAGGGTGAGTCCCCAGACCCTACTCTCTTTTCTTTTCTTCTCTTCCTTCCATCTCTCCAAAACCACAGCCAAGGGAACAGACTGAGCTCTGCCCTTCGGAGAGGAAGCTGGGAGGCGCCAGGTCCAGTGGGACCCAGCAGTGTCCATTTGCCTGACACAAGGCCACACTAAGGTCCATGCTTGCCCTGAGGCTGTTTGCAGGTGTGCCCTGGAGATGCATGCCACCTTAAAACTGCAGTGCTCTTTTCCCTTCTTCCTTCTCTCTTCTCCTTCCCCCATTTTTGCATGATAGGCTTAACAACCACCAGCATCTCTCCCAAAATGCTGCTGCGAGGAGTGCACATAGGCCTGTGTCTGTAGCCCACCTCTCAGCAGGGTCCACCTGGGCCTGCAGTTCCTCTCCACAGTTGGGCAGCTTGTGGTGCCCAGGCACAGCACCATCACCACCGACCTGGCCTGGGTGGGAAGGGCTGCCGTGGGCACCTGGGGAAGCTAGGAAAGGAGCCAGTTCTGGTGGTCGCTGCCCCAAGCCTCAGGCCAGACTCCTCTTTCCTGCAGCTGCCGTGTGTCTAGAACCCTTTTTCCTCTTCCTCCCCTATTCCACATCATTGTTCTCCTGCCCATGGTGCCTCTGTTTGCCCTGGGCACCTTGTCCCAACTGTCACTCGTGCTCTCCTTCTTCCCATGGCCTGTAGGGGTCATGAAAACGCTCACTCCTAAGTCACACTTCCCTGCCCCAGGGACACCAGTAAGCAGCTGGCACCCTTCACTGATGGGGCCAATGGGGTTAGATACCAGATTCTAAAGATAGTCTCTGCTTCTCCTTTCCTTAGAGAAGCTAACAAGGACTGGCACAGTGGCTCAAATGGTAAAACACCTGCCTAGCAAGTGTGAGGCCATGAGTTCAAATCCCACCTTAGTTTGCTTTGATTATTTGGTTCTTTATTGTTAAGAATAGGTTATTATCCTACTCTTCATTAGGATAATAATTGGGTTAGCATGGAGAATCACCATTCCATTTAGGAGCCCTCATGCAGGGGTGGAGAGGCAGCCCTTAAGGGAACGGTTGACTCATGGCCAGGGGCCCCTGCCCTTGCTCACTCTGGAGACATCCAATGGGACTGGGTCTAAAGGACCTGTATTGTTGACTTTCTGGATCTAAAGAAGTCACTTCACAGATCCTGAAAGCTCTCATTCTCTCTTGTTGGGAAGATTTCCCCTCCCTTTCCTCTCTCTCCACCAGACGGCACGGGGAAGCCAACATATTTATCACTTGGCTGTATCCCTAAATACTGGGAGCGCTTTGATCTTGCTGACCTGAACAGAGAACCTAAAGTGCCTTCATCCCCACAGCACCAACTCACACAGCAGTAACACCTGTCTCTCGGTGGGGGGTCTTTTTTCCTATAACAGATCACTATTTTGAGTCTGAATGTTGCGTGTAACGTGACCTTGTGTTCCATTTGAGAGCCCTTTTGGAGAGACCATGTGGTCACAGGAAATGCCACCGTGATGGAGCCACCCCATGCTCTGTGTCATCTTGCCATTCCCTAGGGTTAGGAAACTCACGGGTGACATCATCTTGTCATCCTCTAGGAAAATTACAACTAACTTAATTTAGCTCTAAATTAACATAATTTTTATACATGTTGTTTTTAATACATTAATCTGTTAAGGACTGGACAAAAGATAGAGTACTTGTGTTAAAGATTTTCTGTGACTACTGAAAAGTCTAGCTGAGTAACCTACTTAAAATAATGACAAGAAATCACTTAAGAGTGCACTCTGAATTAATGTGATTATTTTGTGTCATTGTGTGCTTTCTGTGAATGTCTCAGTCTATCTCCTACCAATGTACTTGTGTCCACTGAATTTTTTTTACTTTTTGAGCTCATACATGTGCACTTAAATTGAGATTTTTTTTTTTGGCATGCCTGGGTCAAAACATCTGTGTGTATGTGTTTAGATGTATTTAGGATGAGCCTTAAACTACTTTTATAAAGTTAATGTGTAAAACTGTCTCAAAAGTTATCTAAAGTTCTGATTCCAACCAGGACTAACTAAAGACTGCCTTAGGACTAAAGAGAATTTATGGACAATATTCTGTTTCATTCTATCGTGAGTGTAATTTACATTTAACTCTTTTATAATTAGGTTTATTAACCCATGTGTTCCTATAGATTGCTACTATAAAAAATAATTTACTTTTCTTCCTAAGTCTTTTAAAGTATAAGGTTTCTAAGAGTATTTTATTAAAAACAATTATCTAAATTTGGGTTTTTATAAATGTTGTTTCGAGATACAGATTAAGGTCTTAAAGTTTATATTGACTTGGCTGTACTGTAAAGTTTGCTTAGAGAATTTTCTGAGGTCAGAATTTAAGGTACTAATATATGTCTAAAATGGGTTTTTGTTAGCTCTTTTATCTAAGGTACGTTCTATCTAATAAGATCTTTGACGTATCTGCTGTTTAAGAGGTCTGCTATTTAGGCCTGACATCTGTTTGTCAGGTAAATATTGGTTTATCTGACATTGGCTAGATAAACACTGTTTTATATATATTATATACAATTGAGTATTAAAACATGGGCTATTTAGGATAATTGACATTGCCTTCCTCTAACTAGTGGGAAATTTAGTGTTTTTAATTGACAGTACTTACAACCACTAACCTGCTGCTTTGCTTAACTAAATTTAAGGTTTAAACTATGATGCTGCTACTGGCTCCTTTATATATTACGTGTCTTTGTGTTCTTCAAGTATACAAGCCCTCTAAAATAGAATTGTAAAAATACACTGTACCAAGTTGGTGTCTAAGCCTCTTTTCCCAATTGTAATAAGAAGTTTAGTAATACTGTATGCAAATAGAATTAGATTATTATGTTAATTGCTAAACTGTTAACCATGGTTATTTTAAGTTCTGTCATTACAGCTCTGATCCTTCTGGAACCTTTACAGACAAAGATGTCTAAAATGGGTTTTTGTTAGCTCTTTATATCTAAGGTCACGTATCTATTCTAAAAGATCTTTGACGTTCTGTGTTTAAGAGGTCTGGCTATTTAGGCCTGACATCTGTTTGTCAGGTAAATATTGGTTTATCTGACATTGGCTAGATAAACACTGTTTTATATATATTATATACAATTGAGTATTAAAACATGGGCTATTTAGGATAATTGACATTGCCTTCCTCTAACTAGTGGGAAATTTAGTGTTTTTAATTGACAGTACTTACAACCACTAACCTGCTGCTTTGCTTAACTAAATTTAAGGTTTAAACTATGATGCTGCTACTGGCTCCTTTATATATTACGTGTCTTTGTGTTCTTCAAGTATACAAGCCCTCTAAAATAGAATTGTAAAAATAAACTGTACCAAGTTGGTGTCTAAGCCTCTTTTCCCAATTGTAATAAGAAGTTTAGTAATACTGTATGCAAATAGAATTAGATTATTATGTTAATTGCTAAACTGTTAACCATGGTTATTTTAAGTTTTGTCATTACAGCTCTGATCCTTCTGGAACCTTTACAGACAAGCCCATTAAAAAATAACTCTGACAAGTGCTTATCAACCAGGACAGACATTCTTTAGTATTGGGGTTGTTTTGTACTTTCCTTGTAAAACAATTTAAAGGTGTCAGTACATCCTCTATGGGACAGACAGATTGAATTAAACCCAGCCTAAGAGTCATTTTTTTAATAAATCTCTTTGTTGCTTAATTTGGCCAAAAGGTCTCATCAGCACTAACTCCTGATCTGTTTGGTTGTGACTCCCCCTCCTCCGTGAAACAAATCTGACTTTCTGGAAGAAGCTACTCCTGGCTCTGAGGGACAAAACTGCCAAACTGGCAAAATCTTCAGAGGCAACTATTCAGAGAAACAGTTTAAAAAGACTACAGTTCAAAAGGACTACAGTTCAAAAGGACTACACAAATGAGGGGACGTCTCTAGATCCAGATGGAGTCAATTATGCCAGACCTCTAAAAGTAACCAAAGCCAAGAGATTTTAAAAGGGGCTCTCACCCACGTGTTCTAACATCTAAGCCTTCTGGGCTTCTGGCAAAGGGCACCCTCATGTCGTTGGCCAAGGCCTTCTGTTTAAGCAAAGGCAACATGATCATTTCCACGAGCTCCAGACTTGTATCTTTAACAGTCCTCAGAGCTGTTATACTCTGTCTGTACTCTGCTTTCAGTGGTACCTAACTTCTGCTTAGAGACACTATGAGTCTTCTTTCTGAACAGAACTGACTCATTGATGTTTACCTCTAGTTAGACTGACACCTGCCCTCTGGTACACTTGGCTGCTACTGTAGGTATTACCCATCAGTCCTTAACTTCCCACTACAGTGACAGTCCGAACAAAGGGCCACCTACAGGTTAAAAATAGCTACAGTTTATATACCTATAGGGAAAATAACCATAAGAGTATGTCACTTTTCAAAATAAAAATATAGGTTCTTTATCCTGCCTGCTACACCTGGCAGGGCCCCTTCTAATGCTCTGATTAGTGTTCCTATTTGAGTCACGCCTTCTAAACCAGATTTAGTTCATCTAGGATAAAATATGTCAGGGCCCAGATCATTAGGCAATGGCCCATTGATCTCTGCCAACAAACAAGATCTCCATGAGCTGGGGGCAGGGGGAAGAAATGACCCAAGCTTTGTATGCACATATGAATAATAAAATAATAAAATAAATAAATAAAGATCTCCATGAGCGAGGAATTTTGATTGTGCTGGACAATAATTCAGACACCTTGTGTCAAATGAGCCCCAAGGGAGAAAGTAGGAGAAATAATCTCCTCTTGTAGGTAAGACCTGCTGCCTCCTTGTCAGCTCAAAGCAGATTCAGAAAAAAAGAGAACTCTAGCCCCTCAGCAACCTCAAAAAGATTTTTTCGGGATTTTGTCTCTCAGGGGGAAGTTGAGGCAGGCTCAAGTTAGGGAAAGTTCAGGATTCATAGGAAATACATGACTTAATACTAATTTTCAAATTGGCCTTGCTCTGGCTCACAGACCACCCTCACCTGACCAGGAACCACCCACGCCCCTCCCCACTCATTGATCACTGGATGTGAATCTCCTGGCTCTCCCTTCCCATAGGTCAGCATACGTTTTAAAAGCACCTGGAGGGGGGAAGCAGCTCTCTGCCTCCAGATCTACCTGAGCCCACCATGCTCCCCTTTGTATTTCCCTCCCTAACTTTTAATAAACTCCATTTACACCATGTGTCCTGCCATGGGACACAAAGAATTTGGAAGTCTTCGGACCACAGATTGAACCATTGCAGTCCTATTGCTGTTAACAATAGGAGTTTTCTTTACCTCAGTTTCTTTTCATGGGGTTCCCCTTTAGCTCCTCCCCCCAGGGGAAGCAAAATGGCAGGTAAATGCCCCCCACACACACCCATGGAGAAGGAATTGTGGTAGAAAATCCACACTCACTTGCTGCTCACTCCTACCCCACTGAGAAATGTCTGGCTGCCTGGCTGCACTTCCTAGGCTCTGCATTCATGTCTACCTCACCATTTGACTCAGTGGTCCTATATGACCCACAGAAATGTCTGCACTGGTCACATCAACTCCCACCTGCACCTGCATACTAACCTCCCAGATCCAGGAAAGCTCCTCTCCCTTCTTTCCTATAGCCACAGTGCCTGGCGCCAGGGGGCAGCAGGTCTTGGGAGTGAGGAGCTGTGGGCAGGAAAGGGCAGACCTGTTGGGGAATACCCCCAAAGATCTCCTATGGAAGGCTTGACCAGGACTGGGCCAGTGGATGGCTGAGGTGCTGGCACTGGGCTCAGCCTCCAGGGGTAGGAGGTATAGCAGGATTGTCAACTCTAGGTGAGCCAGACAGAAAGAGGGTTTGGAACTGAGGTCCTTCAAGTGCTGGCCTAGGGGATGGGGCAGGAAGGAGAATGCAGGGCAGAGC